TGCACAAGGAGAACCTTTTCTTTTTGCAAAATTAACACATCCTGTTTTACAAGGCATTCTGGGAGTTGTAGTCCAGATGGATCAACCTGTGAAAATGACCTGTGTGCAGATAGTTAACTTCATGGGGGATTTTAATTATTATTATCTGTATGTTCCCTGTCTTCAGGACGGTGGCAGCGACCAACATGAACGAGACGTCGTCGCGATCTCACGCCGTCTTCACCATCGTCTTCACTCAGAGACGAAGAGACCAGATGACCGGCCCTCGACACCGAGAAGGTACAGAAGAACACATATTTACTGTCCTAATAATATATTGTATTTTATTTAAATGTATTTATTTATAATGTATGTACCTGTTTCCAGGTGAGTAAGATCAGCCTGGTGGATCTGGCAGGAAGTGAACGCGCCGACTCTTCGGGGGCGAGGGGCACCCGGCTAAAGGTCAGAGGTCACACCTTTATTTATATATATTTAATAATTTAATTCTTATTTTCTACAGTTTTATTTAAAACATCTGTGTTTATTTGAACAGGAAGGAGCCAACATCAATAAGTCCCTCACCACGCTGGGGAAGGTCATCTCTGCTCTCGCTGAGATGGTAACAACATCATTTCATTCCTTAAGATGAAGAATTAAACTGGTTTTTTCTTGTTATTTTATTTTATATCATTTTAATACATATTATTTATATTTTCTTCTGTGTGTAGCAGAGCAACAAGAAGAGGAGGAGCGACTTCATCCCGTACAGAGACTCCGTGCTCACCTGGCTGCTGAAGGAGAACCTGGGTCAGTCACAACATACACTCATACACTCATATGGCGCATTTCCACCACACGGTCGGCCTCGGCCACGCTCGGTACTGCTTGGCCGCGTTGGGCCTTAACAGGGCCGGCTCACTTCATGCTGCGTTTCCATTACAGTTTAGGAACTGGGGTAGTTACTATAGTAACGCAGTGTAGGCGGAGCCGTGACGTCATCTTCAATGAGAACCCCAGAAAAACAACATCAGCCGTTAGCTGTTAGCACTCACAGCTCACAGCTCCTTATATCTGTTCAGAAACTAGACAAAAGTTAAACAAGTACAAACCACAGACTGCCTGTGTCATGGTGAATACAGTCGCTGCTTTATTTATGTCTGTATAGGCCGTTGTTGTGAGTGTGGACGGTCGGAGCATATACTGCGTTAGCTTAGCCAATCTCCATTTAGAAAACACGCATTTTAAAAGGTTTTTCGCCTGCCGTCTGTCTGCAGACTTGACAAAGCATTAATTCATGGTTTTTACTAACCGGTATCAGTATGTTGTTACTTCGGCATCATTTTGAAACGTGTATTACAATGAAATCACGGTCAAATATGTCCATCTTGTTGTAGTTGTAGCCTCCTTGCCAGCGATCCTCTCTCTAGTTTAGCATACTCAGCCCGACTCAGCCCTGTTTGTTGGCCCGGATAGAACCACAATTTTGTCGGGCCAGAAAAGAGGTGAAAAAGTGGCCCCGGGCCGGGCCGGGCCGTCACTAGGCCTAGTGGAAGCGCAACCAAAAACGGGCACGGCACGACACGGCACGCTTAAACCGCGCTCCGCGCCATGGTGGAAATGCGCCAATACACTCATACACTCATACACTCATACACGCATACACTCATACACGCATACACTCATACACTCATACACTCATACACGCATACACGCATACACGCATACACTCATACACTCATACACTCATACACGCATACACTCATACACTCATACACGCATACACTCATACACTCATACACGCATACACTCATACACTCATACACGCATACACGCATACACTCATACACTCATACACGCATACACGCATACACTCATACACTCATACACGCATACACTCATACACTCATACACTCATACACTCATACACTCATACACGCATACACTCATACACTCATACACTCATACACGCATACACTCATACACTCATACACTCATACACTCATGCACTCACACACTCACACACTCACACACTCATACACTCATTGCGTAACAGTCGGCACATCGTGGGTCTTATTTATTTAGATTGTATTCTGACCTGGGGAAAAGCTGCAGATTTAATAAATCGAACCTCTTCCTGTCTGGATGAGTTCAGAGGATTTAGACGATATTTTCTATTCATGATTCTCTGGAGAATAACTGCTCGCCTGCGTTTACAGAGTTCAGAGTGGCTGGTTTTAGTGTGTGGAAATGTGCAATCACTCTGACGTTACTAACACCTTTTATTTATCACGTCTTACGATACGATATAATATAATACTTTAATGGTCAGATCGAGGCTCCGTGTGTAACATCACAGCAGCTCCATGTGTAACATCCCAGCAGCTCCATGTGTAACATCCCAGCAGCTCCGTGTGTAACATCACAGCAGCTCCATGTGTAACATCCCAGCAGCTCCGTGTGTAACATCACAGCAGCTCCACGTGTAACATCCCAGCAGCTCCACGTGTAACATCACAGCAGCTCCACGTGTAACATCCCAGCAGCTCCATGTGTAACATCACAGCAGCTCCACGTGTAACATCCCAGCAGCTCCACGTGTAACATCCCAGCAGCTCCATGTGTAACATCACAGCAGCTCCACGTGTAACATCCCAGCAGCTCCACGTGTAACATCACAGCAGCTCCATGTGTAACATCCCAGCAGCTCCACGTGTAACATCACAGCAGCTCCACGTGTAACATCCCAGCAGCTCCATGTGTAACATCACAGCAGCTCCACGTGTAACATCCCAGCAGCTCCATGTGTAACATCACAGCAGCTCCATGTGTAACATCCCAGCAGCTCCACGTGTAACATCACAGCAGCTCCACGTGTAACATCCCAGCAGCTCCATGTGTAACATCACAGCAGCTCCACGTGTAACATCCCAGCAGCTCCATGTGTAACATCACAGCAGCTCCATGTGTAACATCCCAGCAGCTCCACGTGTAACATCCCAGCAGCTCCACGTGTAACATCCCAGCAGCTCCACGTGTAACATCCCAGCAGCTCCATGTGTAACATCACAGCAGCTCCACGTGTAACATCCCAGCAGCTCCACGTGTAACATCCCAGCAGCTCCGTGTGTAACATCACAGCAGCTCCACGTGTAACATCCCAGCAGCTCCGTGTGTAACATCCCAGCAGCTCCACGTGTAACATCCCAGCAGCTCCACGTGTAACATCCCAGCAGCTCCACGTGTAACATCCCAGCAGCTCCATGTGTAACATCCCAGCAGCTCCACGTGTAACATCCCAGCAGCTCCATGTGTAACATCCCAGCAGCTCCATGTGTAACATCAACAGACAAACATCCAGACTCATGAACAACAAACAACAAACATGTAACATCCCAGCAGGATCAGTGAGAGCTGCTCAAAGAGCCTTCAGCGTGATCTGATCTGCAGCTCTGTGTTCACTGAGAGGACAGACTGGAGCTCATCTTGTAGAAAGATCAGATGTAAAAGGTTTTTAAAAAGTCTTAAAGGAGAGGTGTCATGGCCATTTCCACTGATCATAATTCCATTGTTGAGGTCGACTAGAATAGATTTATATTGTGCATCTCTCCAAACTCACATTGGTTTCTCATACAGCATCTCTCCAAACTCACATTGGTTTCTCATACAGCATCTCTCCAAACTCACATTGGTTTCTCATACAGCATCTCTCCAAACTCACATTGGTTTCTCATACAGCATCTCTCCAAACTCACATTGGTTTCTCAAACAGCATCTCTCCAAACTCACATTGGTTTCTCATACAGCATCTCTCCAAACTCACATTGGTTTCTCAAACAGCATCTCTCCAAACTCACATTGGTTTCTCATACAGCATCTCTCCAAACTCACATTGGTTTCTCATACAGCATCTCTCCAAACTCACATTGGTTTCTCAAACAGCATCTCTCCAAACTCACATTGGTTTCTCAAACAGCATCTCTCCAAACTCACATTGGTTTCTCAAACAGCATCTCTGTAAACTACGTGTATTCACTGAATTTTTCATTTGAAAAAGGTTGATAAACGCTGTGAGAATGGGTCTGCAGAGAGAATGGGTCTGCAGAGAGAATGGGTCTGTAGAGAGAATGGGTCTGCAGAGAGAATGGGTCTGCAGAGAGAATGGGTCTGCAGAGAGAATCTCGCCGCGATCCCAACTGTCTGTTATCAGCCTGCAGCCAGGGAGGAGAAATCAGCTGAGCTGCCTGCTCCCTGCACACAGATGTGTGTGTGAGGAAGTCCGTGGATTGGTCAATTTGGACCAATCAGCGGGGGCTTAACGTAACGGCTCCGCGGACGTAACGTAACGGCTCCACGGATTGGTCCATTTCGTTCCGGGTACGGCATGACATCATGCCGTACCCGGAACGAAATGGAAGAATCAAATGGACAATGACGTATCTCCAACGACGCGTTTTGGGGAGGTATTTTCTGTGTTAGTTTTACTCGCTACAGGGTGTACTTTGAGGGGTTGTGACTCTGCACACCGTTTACATAAAAACCTTCATAACACACAAGGGGACGGGTCATAACCGGAAAAGCATGACATGGGAGCTTTAAGTGTGTGTTTCTCCTTCAGGAGGGAACTCCCGCACGGCGATGATCGCGGCTCTGAGTCCGGCCGACATCAACTACGAGGAAACACTCAGCACCCTGAGGTGAATACTCACACATATACTATATATATATACTGCAGTACTCTCTTATACACACGTATTAATATATATATATCTGTACAGATATGCAGACCGAGCCAAACAGATCCGCTGCAACGCCATCATCAACGAGGATCCAAACGCCAGACTGATCCGAGAGCTGAAGGACGAGGTGGAGCGCCTCAGGAGCCTGCTGTTCAGTCAGGGGCTGCAAGAACTGCTGCAGAACACAAGTACTACTATAAATATACACTATATACACTATACATACATGTAGTACACACTGAGGAGCTTCGGTAGCACGAGTACACACTTAAATATACAGAAAATATGCAGAAAAGCGTACTTTAATACAAGCGGTACTCTCTCAGGAGCTGCTGAATAGTCAAAATACTCACTTCAAAAACTAAAATACTGCAATATACATACAGAAAAACATGCATTTCATTCTTTATACTGCAGATATTCTGACACTGCATACAGCTCAGTATAATACACGCATACTACAGAATATATACTTTAAAAACTGCTTTAAATGAGACGTGGTCTAATCAGGATGAACATGTGGTTTTGATTTATCAGCTCTAGTGTGTGTGGAATAATGTGTGTGTGGAATAATGTGTGTGTGGAATAATGTGTGTGTGTGGAATAATGTGTGTGTGGAATAATGTGTGTGTGGAATAATGTGTGCGTGTGGTTTGTGTTTTGGTATGTACGGTATGTGTGGTATGTGAGAGCAGGGTATTTAAAGAGTGTGTGTGTGTGTGTGTGTGTGTGTGTGTGTGTGTGTGTGTGTGTGTGTGTGTGTGATATTAATACTCTCTCTCTCTGTCTCAGTGAACAACAGCAGCCCCCCCGCCCCCCCCCTCCTCCCTGCAGCAGCTGGCTCTGACAGCCAATGGGATGGCAGAGAAGGATAGCTCCGCCCCCTCTGGTGTGTGTTTTTTAGCTGATTCTTTAAACAGGAAATGAGAGGAATAAATCCACTTTTTATTTTACATAAATCTGAACTAATTTAAAAACTATTTCCTGAATCTCCGTCTGCTCGGTTACTCATTGCTTTATTTTGATTTATTTATTTTTGTGCATAACTTTTATTTTGTATCTTTTTTTCTACCTTTTAATTTCTTCTTTTCTTAGATTTGTGTTTCCTACAAGCTTTACTCTGAAAATCTCTCTGTTTCCTGGTGTTTTACTTTGAAAATCTCTCTGTTTCCTACAAGTTTTATTCTGAAAATCTGTTTTCTTGTAGTTTTATTCTGAAAATCTGTTTTCTTGTAGTTTTATTCTGAAAATCTGTTTTCTTGTAGTTTTATTCTGAAAATCTGTTTTCTTGTAGTTTTATTCTGAAAATCTGTTTTCTTGTAGTTTTATTCTGAAAATCTGTTTTCTTGTAGTTTTATTCTGAAAATCTGTTTTCTTGTAGTTTTATTCTGAAAATCTGTTTTCTAGTAGTTTTATTCTGAAAATCTGTTTTCTTGTCGTTTTATTCTGAAAATCTGTTTTCTTGTCGTTTTATTCTGAAAATCTGTTTTCTTGTAGTTTTGTTCTGATAATCTCTGATTCCTACACATTGAACTCCTGTTAACCTACCTGTGGTTTTTCTTCTAATAAACTCTGTTTTTCTGACGTTTTACTCTGAAAATCTGCTTCCTGTTTAGGAGCGGAGGCGGAGTCTGCGTCAGACGACTCCCCCAACGAGCTGATGGATGACGAAGAGGAGCCAATCAGCAAAGAGGAGGCAGCGGAGAGACTGCTGGTGGGGATTATATATTATTATATATTATATTATTATATTATTATATATTATATTATTATATGATATAATATATTATATTATTATACATTATATTATGATATATTATGTAATGTGTGTCTCTCGATGTTTCAGGAGACGGAGAAGATGATCGCCGAGCTGAACGAGACGTGGGAGGAGAAACTGAGGAAGACCGAGTCCATCCGTCTGGAGAGGTGAGGCGCTTTATATGTCAAATTATAAAACTATTCCAGTGAAATCTAAACAACAAAAGATATACAAAATAATAATAATACTTTTTTTTTTTATTACAAAAAAACGTATCCTCCACTTTGCAAAAAAAACTCAATTTCATTTTTATCTCTTTTTTTCATTGTAATTTCAAGACTTTTTTTCTTGAATTAGATTACATATGTTTTTTAGAATTAGTTGTTTTGATTGCTTTATTTATTTTGACCTTAAATGTATTTTATTGATCTCATGATGTCCTCAGGGAGACGATCCTGGCGGAGATGGGCGTCTCCATTAAAGAGGACGGCGGCACGCTGGGCGTCTTCTCCCCTAAAGGAGTGAGTATAATAAATATAATAAATCATATAAATAATAATGTAGTCAATAAACCCTCCTACTGTTAATGTAAGGTGTTTAAATAAAGTTGTGTGTGTCAGACGCCTCACCTGGTGAACCTGAACGAGGACCCTCTGATGTCCGAGTGTCTGCTGTACTACATCAAGGAGGGCTTCACCAGGTACTGCTTTATATGTATATCTTTGTATTAATATATAACATTTCATTCATTTACTCTGAGGGGTATAGGGGCAGAACATAACTGTGAATATATTAATATTTAGAAAAATACACTCTGTATTTCTGAGATTAAACAACACGTTTATGTGTTTGTGATTTACCAGGAGAAATAATACATTTTAGAGATTAATTCAATATTTTGGGATTTTTTGGGATTGTTTCAGTCAAACCAATGAGAGACAAAAAAGGTATTTATGAGATTTAAAACGTACCTTTTTTAGGGATTTAAGTGAAAAAAGGACCTGAAATAGAAACGTTTTTTCTGCCATTCATGAGAGAAAGAAAAATATAATTTTTGGGATTTTCAAGTAAAATCTTTGCAAAATCTGTTTTTTGGGGCAAAAATATAGATTTTATAAAAAGTTTTAGGATTTTATTTTAAGTGTTTCGTGTCATTGACAGATTTGTTTTAATATTAAATATTTGTTTGTATTATTATTACATGTTACATTTTGTAATATATTGTACATTTTAATAAATATATATTTTCATTCTATATTTGTTATTATTAAATATTGCCCATTATTTTTTACTTTATATATACTTTTGTATTATTACCAAATATTGTTATTTCTTATTAAATGTTGTTGCTGTGTGTGTTGCTGTGTTCAGGGTGGGTCAGCAGGACGTGGACATCAAACTGTCGGGAGATTTTATTAAAGAAATTCACTGTGTTTTTGTGAGTGAGACCAACGAGCAGGGAGAAGGTGAGACACTTCCTGTCTGCCTGTCTGTCTGTCTCTCTGTCTGCCTGTCTGTCTGTCTGTCTGCCTGTCTGTCTGTCTGTCTGCCTGTCTGTCTGCCTGTCTGTCTGTCTGTCTGTCTGTCTGTCTGTCTGTCTGTCTGTCTGTCTGTCTGCCTGTCTGTCTGTCTGTTTGTCTGTCTGTCTGTCTGTCTGTCTCTCTGTCTGCCTGTCTGTCTGCCTGTCTGTCTGTCTGTCTGTCTGTCTGCCTGTCTGTCTGTCTGTCTCTCTGTCTGTCTGTCTGTCTGTCTGTCTGTCTGTCTGTCTGCCTGTCTGTCTGTCTGTCTGTCTGCCTGTCTGTCTGTCTGTCTGTCTGTCTGTCTGTCTGTCTGTCTGTCTCTCTGTCTGCCTGTCTGTCTGTCTGTCTGTCTGCCTGTCTGTCTGTCTATTTGTCTGTCTGTCTGTCTGTCTGTCTGTCTGTCTGTCTGTCTGTCTGTCTCTCTCTCTCTCTGTCTGTCTGTCTGTATGTCTGCCTGTCTGTCTGTGTTATATCGCCCTCTGGTGGTCAGACTGGAAACCGTTCTTTTTTCAGATTTTCCCCAAAAAACTCTAGTTTAAAAATTAGAAGAAAAAAGAAAATATAAAAAGTTATTTTCTGATTTTTTAAGCCATAAAATTGCAAGAAAGAAAATTGAAAATGTCTTTTTTTTAAGGAATCAAACCACTTTAATTGGCAAAGATATATATTATTTTTTAATTTTCATCAAATGATAACTAATTGAGTCGACTAAATGTACAGATAGACCACTTCAATTGCAGAGATTATTTTTTTAAATATTGGCATTCAATCAGGTTTAAGCAAGGAGTTATTAGGTATTAAATAGAGTAGAGAAGGTGTGTGTGTGTGTGTGTGTGTGTGTGTGTGTGTGTGTGTGTGTGTGTGTGTGTGTGTGTGTGTGTGTGTGTGTGTGTGTGTGTGTTCAGTGAGTGACTCTGTTTCTTCTTCTCTCTGTGAAAGCTGCACGGAAATCTGTCAGGTATCAAACCCTCGTGTTTCTAGGTGTGTGTGTGTGTGTGTGTGTGTGTGTGTGTGTGTGTGTGTGTGTGTGTGTGTGTGTGTGTGTGTGTGTTCAGTGAGTGACTCTGTTTCTTCTTCTCTCTGTGAAAGCTGCACGGAAATCTGTCAGGTATCAAACCCTCGTGTTTCTAGGTGTGTGTGTGTGTGTGTGTGTGTGTGTGTGTGTGTGTGTGTGTGTGTGTGTGTGTTACCTCTGCTGTGTGTGTGTAACCCTGTTCTGTGTGTGTTCAGTGGTGGTGACTCTGGAGCCGTTAATCGGAGCGGAGACGTACGTTAACGGGAAGCAGATCGAGGACGCCGTCGTTTTAAAACAAGGTGAAGATACTTTAAATATTTTATTTTTATTTTTATATCATACAAATATTGTATTATCTTATTTAGCTTTCATTTTTATCATATATATTTTTTTAAACCTTATTTTCTGTTTTTTTTTAATCTGTTTGGTTCCTCTCCAGCTGTCTGTGCTTTTATTGTGAAGCCCTGTGTGGAGCTCTTATTTTGAAACAGGTGATTTGAGTGTTCAGATCCCAACTGCTCAGTCACTTTTTAAATCTCTGATAAAAACTCACCTCTTTCGTAATAGTTACATTTCTACATTTCTACATTTCTATATTTCTATAATGTTGTATATGTTTTTAGTAACTATGCTTTTTATCTTGTGGATAATGATTGTTTTATTATTTCACTCCTATTGTGTTATTCTATATTGTATTCGTTCCCCGTACAGCACCAACTGAGCTTGTCTTGAATGTGCTGAATGAATAAAGATTGAGATATATTAAGTGTACCCCGGTGTTCAGGGCACCGCATCGTGATGGGGAAGAACCACGTGTTCCGGTTCAACCACCCGGAGCAGGCTCGCCTGGAGAGAGAGCGCAGCGCCAAGCCTGACCTGCAGGGGGAGCCGGAGGACTGGAACTACGCCCAGAAGGAACTGCTGGAGAAGCAGGGCATCGACATCAAGCAGGAGATGGAGAAGAGGTGAGGAGAGGACGCTAGAGAGGAGAGGACGCTAGGGAGGAGAGGACGCTAGGGAGGAGAGGACGCTAGGGAGGAGAGGACGCAAGGGAGGAGAGAGGACGCTAGGGAGGAGAGGACGCTAGGGAGGAGAGGACGCTAGGGAGGAGAGAGGACGCTAGGGAGGAGAGGACGCAAGGGAGGAGAGGACGGAGGAGAGGACGCTAGGGAGGAGAGGACGCTAGGGAGGAGAGGACGCTAGGGAGAACAGATCTGGACAAACAGAAGACTTCAGAAAGACTAGAGGACTTTCATCAGTGGGTTACATTTAGTTTAGGATACATCTCCACCAGAGGAGAAAAGGATCTTTACAAACCAAAGAGTTCAGACGAAAGAGAGGATTATTTCAACTTTTTTAAATGAAAAGTTATTTAATAATTGTATTTATTGGACTTTACTTGATGAATTGTTTTCAGGCTGCAGGATATGGAGGTTCAGTATCGTAAAGAGAAGGAAGAGGCCGACCTGCTGCTGGAGCAACACAGACTGGTGGGTTCAACACTACATATATATATATATACTACAGTATGATACCCTGTGTAATAATATATATATAATACTACAGTATAATACCCTGTGTAATAGTATATATAAGTAAAGGATAATGAGGCGGTCATCCTGGGTAACGGTACGTCCACACGGCAGCGTCGCGTGCTTCAGCGGAGATGCTTCCCATTCACTTTGAATGTGGTGACGTCACGCTTTGCCGAACTGCATTGTGGTTCCGTCGCGTCGCTTTGCCTCCGTTGCTCGCTTCGAAAGTTGAGAAAAGTTTAACTTTTCAAGCGTCAACGGAAGCGCCAGCCAATCAAATGATATGCCAGTACAAGCGCCAGCCAATCAAACACGCTCTTTGTGTGTCCGGGAGGGGAGTTTAATGTGATTGGTTGTTGGTCGCACGCCAGACACGCCCACCGGCAAGCTTCGACGCGACGCTGCCGTGTGGACGTGCCGTTAGGTAATGACCGCCTCGCTGCACATTATCCCGCTTATCACACGGCCACATTCTCAACAAACATGACTCCCAATATTCATTGAAATGTTTTTATTGATTTAAAAAATAGTTTTATTGATTTTAAATGACATGCATCCGCTAAGAGAAATAGTCCGTTGTTACTGTTTGAACTACGTAGCAACGGCAGGAAGTGCTTCGATAGCGTTTTTGAGGAGCTTTTTGATTATGGATCTGAAAACATCGCTGCTTGCTTTTTCATGATGATACCTTGGGAAGGATCTAGATACCCCTGCCCTGATGCCAAAGGAACTGCACACTGAATATGTGTCGCAGTTTGATGTCTGTGTCTGGACCGCTGCGTAAAAAGGACCGCAGCTCCGTGTTGAGGGTTTCTGCCCCGTTACTCCTCCGCTGTTTTCTTGTCCCTCTTGTCTTTTTCTTTTCTTCGCCGGGGACTCATCAGCCACTAACCATTCATCCTGTGCTCTCCAAATATATTCAAATGAATATTAAAATCCTCCATGATGCTCTCAGACGGGAGACAACGGAAAACTAAAGACAAGCAAACAGGCCAAACTGTATACAGTGAAATCGACCGGACTTCTTTCTGCAGAAGTGAGCGTCCTTAACAACGGTCAATAAGTCCTTAACAACGGTCAATAAGTCCTTAACAACGGTCAATAAGTCCTTAACAGCGGTCAATAAGTCCTTGACAGCGGTCTGTACTACTGGATTAACAACGTGTCACGTGTTCTGAATTGACCAATCAGAATCGAGTATTCAACTAAGCCATGTAATAATGTGTAATAATCAGAGATGGGGTCGTTACTAAAAAAAGTAATATATTACATATTACATATTACTTTAAAAAAAGTAATATATTACACTACTTCGTTACTCTCTACATAAAGTAACTCGTTACTTTACTCGTTACTTTACTCGCAGGGCCGGCCCGCCCCTCCCTACAGGCAGATCACGCAGACTGCTAAAGTTTCAAATGTTCTCTTTAGTTCAGTTTCCATTGTCGCATAAGACTGATCCAGATAGCTCTGACTATGGCTGTCCTCTGTCTCCTGCTATCTGTATTTTGCGCAGTATATCTCTGAACGATGCGATGGTGATTCCACTGTGCAAATGGGCAACATTACCTCTACTATGAAGGATGCTACAAGCCTGTCCATCTCTGCTTTGGTTACCGGTCCTCCAAATTCTAATTTGTGCCGCTTCGGAGTCGGCGGCGGCGACTCACAACATCCTCACTCTGGGTTCGGGGGTCCTTAGCTATTAGCTTCACCTTAGCATGTGTTCTTTGCAGGTGTTTGTTGAGGTTTGACGTGGTGTTTGCAGCAGTGGATAACAGCTTCTGGCCTGGACACAGTTTGCACCTCACCGTCACATTCCTGTCTATTCTTCGGACGAACTCAAAATAATGGGCATACCTCCACCCCTCGAAAGTTATCGCTGACTCAGCCATGTTTATGCAGCACTGCAAGTGGAGAGGTGGACGCGCAAGTCGCGCAGATTACGTACATATAAACCTGCGGCGGAAACCCCTCTTGTCTGTCAGTGTGATTATGACTGATTTTATAAAAGTAACGAAGTAACGCGTGTCGGGGCAAAGTTAGTAACTGTAGTGTGATTACTGAATTATAAAAGTAACGCGTTACACTACTCCGTTACCGACAAAAGTAATATTATTACAGTACTTTGTAACGCGTTACACCCAACTCTGGTAATAATATATATACTGTGTATATTATGTTGTAGTACGCGGACAGCGACAGTGGAGACGACTCTGACAAACGATCCTGTGAAGAGAGCTGGAGACTCATCAGCTCTCTGAGAGAGAAGCTACCTGCTAACAAGGTACACACACACAAACACACACACACACACACACACAAACAGGTGAGAGACAGACCTGTCTGTCTCTCACCTGTCTCTCAGGTTCAAAGTATAGTGAAGCGCTGTGGTCTCTCACCTGTCTGTCTCTCACCTGTCTCTCTCTCACCTCTCTCTCTCTCACCTGTCTGTCTCTCACCTGTCTCTCAGGTTCAGAGCATAGTGAAGCGCTGTGGTCTCTCACCTGTCTGTCTCTCACCTGTCTTTCTCTCTCTCACCTCTCTCTCTCTCACCTGTCCGTCTCTCACCTGTCTGTCTCTCACCTGTTTCCCTCTCACCTGTCTGTCTCTCACCTGTCTCTCAGGTTCAGAGCATAGTGAAGCGCTGTGGTCTCTCACCTGTCTGTCTCTCACCTGTCTGTCTCTCTCTCACCTCTCTCTCTCTCTCACCTGTCTCCCTCTCACCTGTCTCTCACCTGTCTCTCAGGTTCAGAGCATAGTGAAGCGCTGTGGTCTCCCCAGCAGTGGGAAGCGTCGCGAGCCTCTGAGAGTTTATCAGATCCCTCAGAGGAGGAGAATCACTAAAGACCCCAAGCGAGTCACGATGGAGGACCTGAGGATGCAGGCGGTGAAGGAGATCTGCTACGAGGTGAGACACGCTGGGATATAGAGGCTTACAGGTCTCCCATCATTCAAGATTCAAGGCTTTTATTGTCATTTGTAAATAGCTACATTGAGGTTAAACACCTGAACTTCTGAAAGGACATCCATAACATTCATCTGGTTGCAACTTATTTATCTAATAAATCATATTCCAGTGACTTGTATAGAGACTCTCCTTGCTCTATTGTATCTGTGTTATTGGGTTGCTCTGTGGGAGGAGCCTGTGACCTCATTTACATTGACTTATCCACACTGTAGCTGTGTACACATGACAATAAAAGCCTTAAATCTTGATATATCAATGAAAATCTGAGTGGCAGTGGGGGACTTCAGTCACTAAGATTTTCAGCAAAAAATTTAAAATGTTGTGAATTTGAGAGAAAAGTTAGAATTTTGAGAATTTTCAAATAAAGTCAGATTTTTTAGAAAGAAATCCTATTTCTGAGATTTTGAGAAAAAAGTTTGAATTTTCTTCTGATAGTCAGTTCACCTATCTCCCTCCACCAGGTGGCGCTGGGGGACTTCCGTCAGTCGAGGCAGGAAATCGAGGCGTTGGCCATCGTGAAGATGAAGGAGTTGAGCCGGATGTATTCGAAGAAGGACCCGAACGAGAGGGACAGCTGGAGGTTTGTGTCCCAGGACGTCTGCGATACTGTGGGCATCGGAGAGGAGAGGAGCCCCCCCACGGAGGAGGGGGGGGTAGCGGGGGAGACGGGGGATGGGGGGGAGAAGAAAAACAACATGTACGACCTGAAGGCTCACATCGACAAACTCACCGACATCCTGGAGGTGAGAGGGTGGATTTACCCCCTGACGGGAAACATAGAAATGCATTATGGAATACCATTTTTTTTTTAATTGTAATTTTTTATTTATTCATTTTTATTCATTTGTATTTATTATGTTTACAAAAATCGTTTTCAGTTTAGCCTAGCTGAGCATAAACACTGTGTGTGTGTGTGTGTGTGTGTGTGTGTGTGTGTGTGTGTGTGTGTGTGTGTGTGTGTGTGTGTGTGTGTGTGTGTGTGTGTGTGTGTGTGTGTGTGTGTGTGTGTGTGTGTGTGTGTGTGTGTGTGTGTGTGTGTGTGTGTGTGTTGCAGGAAGTGAAGCTGCAGAACAACATGAAGGACGATGAGATCCGGGCTCTGAGGGACCGGATGATAAAGATGGAGTCCATCATCCCCGTGGAGGGGGAGGAAGAGGAGGAAGAGGAGGGGGGAGGGTCTCCTCTCAGGGGGGAGGATGAAGAAGAGGAGGAAGAGGAGGAAGAGGGGGAGGGGGAGGAGCCTGGTGGAGAGGGGGAGGAGCCCAGGGGAGAGGGAGACACGCCCCCTAAGAAGCCTGAGGTCCGGGTGAAGCGCCTGATGGATGAGGACCCGGCCTTCCGGAGGGGGCGCCTCCGGTGGCTGAAGCTGGAACAGCAGCGCATCCTGAACCTGCAGCAGCAGAACATCAGAGGGAAGCTGCGGAGCCACAACCAGAGTCCAGGTGAGAACCCGAGTCCAGGTGAGAACCAGAGTCCAGGTGAGAACCAGAGTCCAGGTGAGAACCAGAGTCAAGGGTTAGAACCAGAGTACAGGGTTAGAACCAGAACCACAACCAGAGTCCAGGTGAGAACCAGAGTCAAGGGTTAGAACCAGAGTCAAGGGTTAGAACCAGAGTCAAGGGTTAGAACCAGAGTACAGGGTTAGAACCAGAACCACAACCAGAGTCCAGGTGAGAACCAGAGTCCAGGTGAGAACCAGAGTCCAGGTGAGAACCAGAGTCCAAGTGAGAACCCGAGTCCAGGTGAGAACCAGAGTCCAGGTGAGAACCAGAGTCCAAGTGAGAACCAGAGTCCAGGTGAGAACCAGAGTCCAGGTGAGAACCCGAGTCCAGGTGAGAACCAGAGTCCAGGTGAGAACCAGAGTCCAAGTGAGAACCAGAGTCCAAGTGAGAACCAGAGTACAGGGTTAGAACCAGAACCAACTTTTTTCTAAAGATTCTGAATTTTATCTCAAAATTCTTACTTTTTTCTAAAGATTCTTCTTTTTTTCCCTTTTCTCTAAAGAAATTAACTTTTTTCTAAAAATGTTAACTTTTTCTCAAATTTGTTAAAATTGGGAAATGTTCTCAAAATCTCAAAATGCTGACTTTATTTTTTAATTCTCAAAATTCTGAGACATAAAGGGTTAAACAAGAATTTGGGAAAGGGGCGTGGCTACATGAAGTGAGGCGTACGTATGAGCAAGGAACTCTGGGAAATGTAGTCGGAGGCTGAAATGAGACCATGAGCTTTGATGTGATGGTCTTCAAAGGGTACATTTGTCTTGAATTGATTTTGAGGAGATACCTAACGATTGTCTTCCCCTTCTCTCCCTCCCCTCTGTCTCTCTCTCCCCCTCCCCCTCTCTCTCTCCCTTTCCCTCCTCAGGTGTTCCCTCCCCTGTGGTCCCGGTCCACCTCCCTGGCACCGGGCGCTTCATCCCCCCCCAGGAGTGCAAGCTGAAGTTCCCCTTTAAGAGTAACCCTGCTCACCGGTTGTCATGGGGACCAGCGACCGCCGCCCTACTGGCGCTGGGACTGGGTGAGGGGGGGGAGGAAGGAGGAGGGGGGGGGGAGGGTAAAGCTTCTCCCTCACCCCCCCCCTCATCAGGGCCTGTTGCCCCTCCCCTTCCTGCAACAAGCTCCGCCCCCTCCTCGCATGCGAAGCCCCAGCCCTCACCGCAACTGGCAACAACAACAACAACAACAACAGCGTAACCAGGGCGGCTTCTTCAACAACCAGCACGGTAACCAGGGCAACCAGCAGCCGCAGAACCACCGTTACCGACGCAACTCGTTCGACGGCTCCGCCCACCACGGCAACAGTAACTATGATAACGATCACCAGGGGCGACCGAGACAGAGGAGGGGGGCGTCGCCCGGCCCGAGAGGAGGGGGAGGGGGGAGGCGGCTTCAATTATAACCAACCCCCACCACCACCCCATCAGTTCCACCCCCACCCGTACTACAGCCCCCACAATGCACCATTCCAGCCGGCACCAGGGGGGCCGCCGCACAACAACTACCACAGCCTGCCACGGCCCCCCCCCCCCCGACATGATGCTGATGGCAGGGTGGGGCTTCAACACTCCTCCACGAATGAGAAGGCAGTTTAGCGCACCGGACCTCAAAAACAATAAGGACATGTGATCGCAGCGAGCGCTCTGGTTGGCTGCTGTGATCAACAAGGACACGCTCATCTGACAGCAGCGAGCACTCTGATTGGCTGCCGCGTGTTTGTGTTTAAGCACCCTACCAACACTAGAGCAGCCCGTCACACACATCCTGTACCTCCACTCCTGGTGTGTGTGTGTGTGTGTGTGTGTGTGTGTGTGTGTGTGTGTGTGTGTGTGTGTGTGTGTGTGTGTGTGTGTGTGTGTGTGTGTGTGTGTGTGTGTGTGTGTGTGTGTGTGTGTGTGTGTGTGTGTGTGTGTGTGTGTGTGGCTGTTTGTGTGTGTGTGGCTGTTGTGTGTGGCTGTGTGTGTGTGTGTGTGTGTGTGTGTGTGTGTGGCTGTGTGTGTGTGTGGCTGTGTGTGTGTGTGTGTGTGTGTGTGGCTGTGTGTGTGTGTGGCTGTGTGGCTTGCTGTGTGTGTGGCTTGCTGCTAGGAGGGTTGTTCCCTGGGTCATGTGTTCTTGTTATAAACTGACATTTTAAGAGTCTGTAGTGCTAACTACAAACTTTGCCGTTAAAATGTCAAACAAATTATGGAAAAGTGACGTTTAAAATGGAATTTGAACGGTAACATTTCGTTCAGCTGTTTTGGAGATATGGACTTCTAAAGAAAGGCGTAAAAAGACACTAAGCTAGGGAACACAGGACCCTGGGAACATACACTAACCCTGCTAGCTTCTACGTTAGCACGCGTTAGCTCTTGCTTTTTGTTGCTGTTTGTCAGGCTGTCAAACAGGAAGGAAGTTATCAGATCTGATGAATTGCTGCGTTGATGATAAGCCGTTTTTAAAACAGTGCCTTGAAGCTATCTTAAGCAGAAGTCTCCTGTTTTTGTGTTTTTGTACTTAAAGATGAAGTACGTTGGTTTGTTTTTCTCTGAGTTTATTGAGCTCCTCTCTGTTAGCCGCTGTTAGCCCAGGAGGCTAACTAGCTCGATACAGCCAGAGAGGTTTCCGTTAGCTCGGGTTAGCAAGCTAGCCTGAGCAATAAGTAGAGGGAAGGGAAAGTATTAGCTTAGTTTAGCCTAGCCAAAGCAGCATTCATGGTGGATGGGAAATTACATTTTCTAAGACTTCATAAAATTGAACGTTTTTCAGATTAAAAAATACCTACGCTTAAAAGCTACAGTGTTAGCTAGCCGTAATAAACTCCATTTACAATCTGTTTGCTTATGGTTTTGAAGACTGAAATCTGATTATTGAAGCTCGTAGTTCCTGTTTCTCCCGTGTGTACCTGAATGCTGCGTAGCTAAGTGCTATAAACCAAAGAGAGCTGCGACAGACAGACGGTTATAAAGACAGACAGACGGTTAGAAAGACAGACAGACGGTTATAAAGACAGACAGACAGATGGTTTTAATGGACGGTGTAAGGAAACAGAAGAAGTGAACTCACATGTTGGATGTTTTTAAAGCGTTGTGTGTATATTTGAAGTTTGTTTTTATAAAGAATCTATTTTAAAACGGGCTGCGACATATATTATATAAATGTGTTCGATATGTCACCTTCACTGTCTCTGGCAATCGTGGGAAATGTAAGTGATGTGACTTATTTAACAGACATGGGAGATGGATTATGCGAGGCCCGTGTGAGCAAGGAACTCTGGGAACTGTAGTTTGAGACAGAAGGAAAAGAGACTTTGTGTTTGAAGTTACATGTTCTGTGTGATTTTACATTTAAAAAACGACAATTTAAAAAGTTATAATGTCCGTGAAGGACGAGGAATAAACGGCTGCCTTCAGGAGACGTTGGGAAGTTCGGAATGTGTGGCTTTTTTCTCAATTTAACGTTGCATTCAATTTCACTTTAAAAGCAATTCTGTCAACATACGGTCATACTCTTAACATCATTAATCAAATCATTTAGTTTGAATTGTCAGGAAATAGCAGAAAACACTTGTTACAGTTTACATTACATGACATGTCACTTGTTTGACGCTTTTATCCAAAGCGACTTACATACTCAATACTGTGGGCAATCCCCACAGGAGCAATTTGGGGTGAAGTGTCTCAGGGACACAACAACATGCTGACTGCAGTGGGGTTTGAACCTGACCCCATGATCCGAACACCAACGCACAACCCACTGCACCACATGTATAAAGTGTGTTGGCTATAAAATAAAGAATTACACAGTCAAATGCTATACAATTATCAAAAAATACACTTTTTTTGAGAGGCTTACAAAGAAACGTGGCCTTAAAGTGCTGAAGTACGCTTGGGTTAAACGAAGCAGCCCTCGTGGTTCGTTTATCCTAAATGTACGAAGTTTCGAAGGCAGGTGTTTCGCATGTAGACTTACAAAAAAGACTCTTGGGACCACGCCTTAAACCCAACAGGAAGTCATTCTTAATATAGCATGACATTTATTTTTGGGGCGATAAAATAATTTGAAGTTGTAAAAACAACCGCATATTTCCAACTTCCCAAATGTCCTTGAATGCAGCCTTGAGGGTTCTTTTTACCCTCCATGAATGATGACGCGTTTACTGTCAGCTGGGAGTTTTCAGCACTGCCTGAACCCCGTCCCACACAGAGCAATGCATTGTGGGAGAGATGACGAGGGGAGCTTAATTGCGCTCCGTGACTTTAAGACCTTTCTTTATTTTTTACAAGGTGATGACAAAAACACAGGAAGTGATTGTGATTGGCCGGAGAAGCATGTCTCTGGAATCAACCAATCACAGGACAATCTCGATTATTACCTGCCGCCACCGCCGGGCATGATGGGAGATTTCCTTTTTTATGATTTTTCTTTTTTTCTTTCCAGCTTGGGCTTTTCTGATTGGCTGTTTTCTTTGTTTACTCATTTACTTCCTGTATTTTAACCCCGCCTACATGTGCTTTGTGACGTCACTGTCACTATTATTGATATAACTATCGTTTAGTATAAAAAGTGTCTTTAATATCGGGTTCTGTTGCTGCTAAAGGGAGCTTCTTCGCCCTCATGCAAGTGTGTGTGTGTTGGACGTCCATGTGTGTGTGAGTGTGTGTATTTCCGGGTTAATTTAGAATCATAATCTAAAGTGTGCGTCACGTTATAAATCTACTTTTTCTTGAATCGTCTGTTTAGTTTTTATTATTCTTTGGGCGGTTTGAGGAGGAGGAGGAGGGGGCCTTATCCAATCACAACCTCAGAATCCTTCAGGACTCGATGACATCACGGTCTAGCCCTCCTCCCATTGGCTGAGAGTTTGTTTTTCTGTCTGTTGTTGTATCAGGATCAATCTCAGGCTCTACCTGCAGAAACATGGCGGCAATAAACTGTCAGCGAAACACTAAAAATCACGAGTCACTGTTTCCTCTTTATTTCTGCACCATCATGTTTTATTCATTGTTTTGTCCGACACAGTAACCATATAGTTAAAAGTAAATAATTAAAATAACTGCAAGCATAGTTTAAAGGTGGGGTAGGTAAGTTTGAGAAACCGGCTCGAGATACACTTCTTATATTCCATGGAATGCTCTTAACATCCCGATAGCAATGAATATCTGAAGTGCTTTGACAAAAAATCCATAAAGAAATATCATCTGTGGAAGCCGTAGTACTGTAAAAAGCACGACCAATCCTAGTGGATTCATCTTCTTATTATAGACAGACGCATTTCCAAACATTTGGTCTACCTATGCTGTAAAATGTATTATCTCTTGGATTTACACACGGCATCTATTGCACGTCTGTCCGTCCTGGGAGAGGGATCCCTCCTCTGTTGCTCTCCCTGAGGTTTCTCCATGTTCCCTTTAAACTGTGGGGTTTCTCTGGAAGTTTTTCCTTGTACGATGTGAGGGTCTAAGGACAGAGGGTCTAAGGACAGAGGGTCTAAGGACAGAGGGGGTCGTATTGTCATACTGATATTCTGTACAAACTGTGAAGTCCACTGAGACAAATGTAACATTTGTGATATTGGGCTATATAAATAAACATTGATTGATTGATTGATTTTGTCTCTAATTCGGCTTAGAAACTACCCTAAGTTTCACTTTATTTGATTAGATATCACCCCTTTTGACAGTCGGTGCATTCACCTGCCTCGTGAGTCTGGTTGTAACTCTGACATTTTCATTATAACCATCAGCTGTTTATAAATAACGATTAGCATATAACGCGTGTATTTTAGCAACAAAACATCCATAGTTTAAATCAGAAACAAACTTACCTGAAGCAGGTGATTGAAGCTGCCGTAGAAACAACAGTAGAAGAAGAAGAAAGTAAATCCCGTTAGCTTCATGCCAAGAGATAAAGTTTAAATTTAGAGTTTTTTAAGTTGAATTATAAGTCTGTTTATTTAGAATCCGACAGTGTAGATCTGAACCAGCTGAAGAATAAATGATAATTAAAGAAGCTTCTGGGCATGCGTAATAGTAATTATATTAAATATATATATATATATATAAAAATAAATTATATCTATATTTATTTATGTTTAAACTACCAAAACAATAATTAATAATATTAATAATGAATAAATCAAATGTTGAGAATCTAGAAGTAATACAAATACAATACAAAGAATATAATAAAAACAAATACAATTAAATACAACATCAATAAAATAAACAATTTTCAGAAAACTATTTAAATATAAAGAAATCAAGGGTACAACAATTATCCAAATTATAAACCAGACTACAAATATTAATTAATTTAAAATGAGAGATGGCTTTTTTGAAATTATATTATCCAGTTTAGGGGTTTACAAACAGAAAGGACAAATAAGAAAACACATTTTTTATCGTTTATTAAATGACTCTCTGATGACTTAAAGGTGAGTAAACAGTTTTTATTGATTAATGTAAATTAAACACACAGTTAATATTCATTTATTTTGTTAGTAGTGATTATGGGAGGCCTTTGGGAATGTGTCATTAAAAGCGTGTTGAGGGTTAGGGTTAGGGTTAGAATGATAATAAAGGTGGTTTTAATTTTTATAGTTTTAAAAAGATTAATATCCCGCTATACTTTCTAATAGAATGAAAAACAGAAGATAGACAGGAAGTGACGTCATAACTCTTATCCAATGATGTCTACATTTGGATTTTAGTCATTTCAAATGTAACAACAGAAAATAATAATGATGTCATGACGTTCATCCAGCTGACCAATCACTGAGCAGCCTCTCCCTCAGGAGGCGGGGCCACACTCCAGGGCATGCTGGGTAAGCAACGAGTAAGCCACTCCCTCCAGCTGCTCCTAGGCTCCTCGGGGGTGGTGGTTGTTGCCCTGAAAAAAAAGGGTACTCAAATAAAAATTAGGAATTCATTTAAAATGCTTTATGCTAAACAGTTTAGGGGTGTTAAAAACCGAAATGGCTTTTATAGGACATTTAAGGAAATTCATTTTAATACAAAAATAGAATTCAAAATGAGATTGTGGTGGTTGTTACCTTGGTAGTGGTGGTTGTTGCCTTGGGGGTGGTAGTTGTTGCCTTGGGGGTGGTGGTTGTTGCCTTGAAAACAGTTTCCATTGGCTTGTTTCCGTCTCCACGTATCGGATGCTCTGGCTCTGGTGGACACAGCTCAGATTCTTCAAGATTCAATACAGCTGTTGCCTTATGCCTCAGAGGAGAGTCGCACACCTGAGAACAGAAAGCGAACGCCAGAAATAAGTCTGTTTTTTATTTTGAATTTGCATTAAGGCAACAACCTGTCATAAAGACTTTCCATGGCCGGTTCTCACCACGCTCGAAGCGTCGGTCGTGACGATCGGTCCATTCCGCACGTACACGTTGAATTCATATTCATCAAGGTATCTGCGCAAGTAACCGAGGGAACAGGAGCAGGCCCAGGGATTGGCCGAGAGGAAAAGGTACGGCACGTCCTCCTTCGGGCTGAACCAACCGTCAGGCATCGTCAGGACCTGAAATAAAAAGGTTTGAGATCCCCACTACAGGCAAGAAAACGGACATTTAAGGACTGTTGTTCCTTTCCCCACCTTGTTGTTCTCGATGTACAGGGTCTCAATCACAGCGAGGGGTTGTAGCATGAGCTGAGGAAGAACCTGGATACGATTGGACGATAAGTCCAGGATCTAAAAGGTGAGAATTAGAAGAGAGACAAGTTGAGCGTTCTTCGGTAAGAAAACTAAAAGTCTTCTACATTTTTATCACGCTAACTTCACGATATGAATCCTAGCATCCTAACAATCTACCTTCATGTTCTGCATACAAAGTTCCTACACTACTATATTCATTCAATTCTTCTTAACTTCCTAACATGCTTCCTTCACGGCATGTATCCTAACTTCCTTAGATGCTTCCTTCACGGCATGTATCCTAACTTCCTAAGAAGCTTCCTTGTACATCCTTCAGCATGCATCTTCCCTTGCTAGCAGACAGCCTGACCTCCAGCTTGCTGAGTCCGGAGAAGGTGTTGTCACTCAGAGAAACCAGGGCGTTGCCCTCCAGGTAGAGTTCAGTCAGCGCCGGACAGGCGGAGAAGGATCCATCAGGGAGGGAGGTCAGGCGGTTCGACCCCAGCCGGAGGACACTGAGGCTGGGGAGGATCGGAGCGGAGCTGGGGGTCAACTCTGGAACCTGGAGACACAGCAAGTCAAGAAACTTTAAATACTAAATATGTACGACGCCTAAAACAAGAGATATTAATATTGATCCTTGTTCTACATCCTAACATCTCAATAAGGTACCTTCTTGTTCTGCATCCTAACCTCTCAATAAGGTACCTTCTTGTTCTGCATCCTAACATCTCAATAAGGTACCTTCTTGTTCTACATCCTAACATCTCAATAAGGTACCTTCTTGTTCTGCATCCTAACATCTCAATAAGGTACCTTCTTGTTCATCCTAACATCTCAATAAGGTACCTTCTTGTTCTGCATCCTAACATCTCAATAAAGTACCTTCTTGTTCTGCATCCTAACATCTCAATAAGGTACCTTCTTGTTCATCCTAACATCTCAATAAGGTACCTTCTTGTTTTGCATCCTAACATCTCAATAAGGTACCTTCTTGTTCTGCATCCTAACATCTCAATAAGGTACCTTCTTGTTCATCCTAACATCTCAATAAGGTACCTTCTTGTTCTGCATCCTAACCTCTCAATAAGGTACCTTCTTGTTCTACATCCTAACATCTCAATAAGGTACCTTCTTGTTCTACATCCTAACATCTCAATAAGGTACCTTCTTGTTCTACATCCTAACATCTCAATAAGGTACCGTCTTGTTCTACATCCTAACATCTCAATAAGGTACCTTCTTGTTCTACATCCTAACCTCTCAATAAGGTACCTTCTTGTTCTACATCCTAACCTCTCAATAAGGTACCTTCTTGTTCTACATCCTAACCTCTCAATAAGGTACCTTCTTGTTCTGCATCCTAACCTCTCAATAAGGTACCTTCTTGTTCTACATCCTAACATCTCAATAAGGTACCTTCTTGTTCTGCATCCTAACATCTCAATAAGGTACCTTCTTGTTCTACATCCTAACATCTCAATAAGGTACCTTCTTGTTCTGCATCCTAACATCTCAATAAGGTACCTTCTTGTTCTACATCCTAACCTCTCAATAAGGTACCTTCTTGTTCTACATCCTAACCTCTCAATAAGGTACCTTCTTGTTCTACATCCTAACATCTCAATAAGGTACCTTCTTGTTCTGCATCCTAACATCTCAATAAGGTACCTTCTTGTTCTGCATCCTAACATCTCAATAAGGTACCTTCTTGTTCTGCATCCTAACCTCTCAATAAGGTACCTTCTTGTTCTGCATCCTAACATCTCAATAAGGTACCTTCTTGTTCTGCATCCTAACCTCTCAATAAGGTACCTTCTTGTTCTGCATCCTAACATCTCAATAAGGTACCTTCTTGTTCTGCATCCTAACATCTCAATAAGGTACCTTCTTGTTCTGCATCCTATCTTCTTAATGAGCTAACTTTATATTTTCGTCTTAAAATCTTAACAAACTACCTCATTGGTTTTACTTGCTAAAAAGCTACAATCACAACGTGCATCCTAAATTCCTAGCACGCTTCCTTCATGTTCTGCATCCTAGTTATTTCAGTACTCGGGTGATTAGACTAAAATGAGAGATCTAAATATTGATTCATATCAATATCAATATCCTCAGTGAACCTGGACACACAGGAAATAGAGACATATGTACAGAAACTAAAATGAGAGATATCATTGATTCCGGATTCATCCGACACCTTGTTTCCAGTGAGGTCGATCTCGTAGATCTCCGTGAAGATCTGGAAGGAGGACCAGGAGAGTCTGGAGAATAGGTTCTGGGGAAACAACAGAACCTAAAAGAAAAAACAGTAGAAGAAGAAACACTGTAAAAGCTGTTTCCTTTCCAACTGCTGTCGTGTTATCGCTCTGGAACAGGAAGACAGTTTTCTGCTGTGGTCCTGTCCGTCAGAGAAGGACAGTCAGCTGTTAGCTACAGGATGTTTAATAAAACATGGGTCATCTGGCTTATTCTGCTATAATCACATTTGGTCATTTATTTTTGACATTTCAGTACAAAATGTTGAGCAAGTTAGAGGCTTTATCAGAATCAGAAGCGGTTTTATAACCCGGTTCACACATACAAGGAATTTGCTTTGGTATATCTAAGTCTTTTTTTAAATGTATGTTTTGTATATTCACATTCATTATATTTTCGTAATTATTTTATATTTCTATTACTAAATGTTTTATATTTTCATCATTATTATAAATATTTGTACTTATTCTTTTCACTTTTTTTTATCTTGCCTTAAAGTGGACCCTATCATGCTATATTTGAATAATATAGTGTAGGACCATACCTATATAAGGCATATTTATACTTTTTTTTTTTTTCAAAATACCAAACAGATCATGCATTTTAGCCATGCCTCATTTTGCTCAATTTGAAAAATGTTAGCTCTGTTTTTGCAAGGGCAGATTCAGTGAGAACAGCACCACCTACTGGCCTGGCATATGTACTACAGCATCTCCAGCGCTTTCGAACGGCAATGGCCGTGGCTGTCTCCTCCTGATTGGTGGAGTTGGCCCAATAGCCGTAGCGCCACCGTCCTGACGTCAGGACAGTGTTCAAATCTGGATCAGTTTTTATCAGATCCGTTGCAGCCCCTTTTTTAGAGATTTGGGTATGGAGGAAAATAGAGAGGGTTGTGTTTTCTGACACTTGGTAAGTTCCCTGGAACACCGGGGACACATATTCATGTATACAAGACGTACCAAAGTGCATTTTGCATGATAGGTCCCCTTTAAATTTCTCTATAGTTTAATCTCTCTTAAAATGTCCACTTTTAACTTTGACTATATTTCTCTGTGTATAAAACTGTTTAATTTCACACACTGAAGTTAGAGTTCCCCTCTCGTGTTACCTTGGTCGCGGGTTCGAGTCCCGTCGGTACTCCGGTGAATCCCGCCACGGTGCAGTTTTCCTGTCTCCGGTGGTCCTTATCTCTGCCGCCGTGACAACCGGGAACCGCTTTTACCGGAGCAACGAGGAGGGCAAAAGCAGTAGTCATAGAAACAGCAGTAGTAGTGGTATGAATGTGAGTATTAGTAAGAACTGGGACGGTGGGAGCCACAGTTTCCATTGGCTTGTTTCCGTCTCCACGTATCGGATGCTCTGGCTCTGGTGGACATAGCTCAGATTCTTCAAGATTCAATACAGCTGTTGCCTTATGCCTCAGAGGAGAGTCGCACACCTGAGAACAGAAAGCGAACGCCAGAAATAAGTCTGTTTTTTATTTTGAATTCGCATTAAGGCAACAACCTGTCATAAAGACTTTCCATGGCCGGTTCTCACCACGCTCCAAGGGTCGGTCTTGAGGATCGGTCCATTCCGTACGTACACATTGTAATCATATTCATCAATGTATCTGCGCAGGTAACCGAGGGAACAGGAGCAGGCCCAGGGATTGGCCGAGAGGAAAAGGTACGGCACGTCCTCCTTTGGACTGAACCAACCGTCAGGCATCGTCAGGACCTGAAATAAAAAGGTTTGAGATCTGCACTACAGGCAAGAAAACGGACATTTAAGGACTGTTGTTCCTTTCCCCACCTTGTTGTTCTGGATGTACAGGGTCTCGATCACAGCGAGGGGTTGTAGCATGAGCTGAGGAAGAACCTGGATACGATTGGACGATAAGTCCAGGATCTAAAAGGTGAGAATTAGAAGAGAGACAAGTTGAGCGTTCTTCGGTAAGAAAACTAAAAGTCTTCTACATTTTTATCACGCTAACTTCACGATATGAATCCTAGCATCCTAACAATCTACCTTCATGTTCTGCATACAAAGTTCCTACACTACTATATTCATTAAATTCTTCTTAACTTCCTAACATGCTTCCTTCACGGCATGTATCCTAACTTCCTTAGATGCTTCCTTCACGGTGTGTGTCCTATCTTCCTAACAAGCTTCCTTCATGGCATGTATCCTAAGTTCCTAACATACTTCCTTTATGGCGTATATCCTAAGTTCCTAACAAGCTTCCTTGTACATCCTTCAGCATGCATCTTCCCTTGCTAGCAGACGGCCTGACCTCCAGCTTGCTGAGTCCGGAGAAGGTGTTGTCACTCAGAGAAACCAGGGCGTTGCCCTCCAGGTAGAGTTCAGTCAGCGCCGGACAGGCGGAGAAGGATCCATCAGGGAGGGAGGTCAGGCGGTTCGACCCCAGCCGGAGGACTCTGAGGCTGGGGAGGATCGGAGCGGAGCTGGGGGTCAACTCTGGAACCTGGAGACACAGCAAGTCAAGAAACTTTAAATACTAAATATGTATGACGCCTAAAACAAGAGATATTAATATTGATCCTTGTTCTACATCCTAACATCTCAATAAGGTACCTTCTTGTTCTACATCCTAACATCTCAATAAGGTACCTTCTTGTTCATCCTAACATCTCAATAAGGTACCTTCTTGTTCTGCATCCTAACATCTCAATAAGGTACCTTCTTGTTCTACATCCTAACATCTCAATAAGGTACCTTCTTGTTCTGCATCCTAACATCTCAATAAGGTACCTTCTTGTTCTGCATCCTAACCTCTCAATAAGGTACCTTCTTGTTCTGCATCCTAACATCTCAATAAGGTACCTTCTTGTTCTGCATCCTAACTCTCAATAAGGTACCTTCTTGTTCTGCATCCTAACATCTCAATAAGGTACCTTCTTGTTCTGCATCCTAACCTCTCAATAAGGTACCTTCTTGTTCTGCATCCTAACCTCTCAATAAGGTACCTTCTTGTTCTGCATCCTAACCTCTCAATAAGGTACCTTCTTGTTCTGCATCCTATCTTCTTAATGAGCTAACTTTATATTTTCGTCTTAAAATCTTAAATCTTATTGTGATTGTAGTAATGTGTTTTTATTACATGTACAGCACTTTGGCTCGACCAAAAATCGCTTTTAAATGTGCTATATAAATAAAACCTGATTTGATTAACAAACTAACTTATTGGTTTTACTTGCTAAAAAGCTACAATCACAACGTGCATCCTAAATTCCTAGCACGCTTCCTTCATGTTCTGCATCCTAGTTATTTCAGTACTCGGGCGATGCGACTAAAATGAGAGATCTAAATATTGATTCATATCAATATCAATATCCTCAGTGAACCTGGACACACAGGAAATAGAGACATATGTACAGAAACTAAAATGAGAGATATCATTGATTCCGGATTCATCCGACACCTTGTTTCCAGTGAGGTCGATCTCGTAGATCTCCGTGAAGATCTGGAAGGAGGACCAGGAGAGGCTGGAGAATAGGTTCTGGGGAAACATCAAAACCTACAAAAAAACAGTAGAAGAAGAAACACTGTAAAAGCAGTTTACTGTCAAACTGCCGTGTCGTGTTATCGCTCTGGAACAGGAAGACAGTTTTCTGCTGTGGTCCCGCCCGTCAGAGAAGGACAGTCAGTTGTATGTTCACATTCATTATAGTTTCGTACATTTTTTACATTTTCTTATTTCTATTACTCAAAATTAAAAATGATTTATTTTGATAATTGTTTTTTTTTATTATATTTTCATCATCATTATAAATATTTGTACTTGTTTTGTTTATTTTCTTTCACTTTTTTATCTTGCCTTAAGTTTCTCTATAGTTTAATCTCTTTTAAAATGTCCACTTTTAACTTTGACTATATTTCTCTGAGTATAAAACTGTTTAATTTCACACACTGAAGTTAGAGTTCCCCTCTCGGTGTTACCTTGGTCGCGGGTTCGAGTCCCGTCGGTACTTCGGTGAATCCCGCCGCGGTGCAGTTTTCCTGTCTCCGGTGGGCCTTATCTCTGCCGCCGTGACAACCGGGAACCGCTGTTACCGGAGCAACGAGGAGGACGAAGAGGAGGAAGATGTGCATTCTGGGAAATACCTGTAGCTCCTGAGATAAACTGAAGAAACTGAAGGAACCCTCTGACTGTACGCTGCTCTGTGTGTGTGTGTGTGTGTGTGTGTGTGTGTGTGTGGTGTGTGTGTGTGTGTGTGTGTGTGTGTTTGTGTGTGGGTGTGAGTGTGTGTGTGTGTGTGTGTGTGTGTGTGTGTGTGTGTGTGTGTGTGTGTGTGTGTGTGTGTGTGTGTGTGTGTGTGTGTGTGTGTGTGTGTGTGTGGGTGTGTGAGTGTGACTGACAGCTGCTGAAACAGGAAGTGTGATAAGACTCAGCTGTGTGTCTGTTGATAGCATGTGCTTCTATGTTTATTTTACAATTCGGAAAAAACATTTTCACTGACATTGCGATTAGAGGGAATACATAATTGTGGCATCATTATTCTCAATATTATCAAAAATATATATTAAAATTGACATGATGTGATTTCATTTGCAAAAACAAAGAACTCATAAATTAAGGAGCTATAAAACCTTTAAAACAAATATTGCGTTAAAAAAACATTGGATTTTCTCTGAGATTAAATATGATAATTTAAAACTGAAACAGAAGACCCAGGGCTTTCCTCGTTAAGGGGCATTAACTTGAACTATGCTTGCAGTTATTTAAATTATTTACTTTTAACTATATGGTTACTGTGTCGGACAAAACAATGAATAAAACATGATGGTGCAGAAATAAAGAGGAAAGAGTGACTCGTGATTTTTAGTGTTTCGCTGACAGTTTATTGCCGCCATGTTTCTGCAGGTAGAGCCTGAGATTGATCCTGATACAACAACAGACAGAAAAACAAACTCTCAGCCAATGGGAGGAGGGCTAGACCGTGATGTCATCGAGTCCTGAAGGATTCTGAGGTTGTGATTGGATAAGGCCCCCTCCTCCTCCTCCTCAAACCGCCCAAAGAATAATAAAAACTAAACAGACGATTCAAGAAAAATCAGATTTATAACGTGACGCACACTTTAGATTATGATTCTAAATTAACCCGGAAATACACACACTCACACACACATGGACGTCCAACACACACACACTTGCATGAGGGCGAAGAAGCTCCCTTTAGCAGCAACAGAACCCGATATTAAAGACACTTTTTTATACTAAACGATAGTTATATCAATAATAGTGACAGTGACGTCACAAAGCACATGTAGGCGGGGTTAAAATACAGGAAGTAAATGAGTAAACAAAGAAAACAGCCAATCAGAAAAGCCCAAGCTGGAAAGAAAAAAGAAAAATCATAAAAAAGGAAATCTCCCATCATGCCCGGCTGGTGGCGGCAGGTAATAATCGAGATTGTCCTGTGATTGGTTGATTCCAGAGACATGCTTCTCCGGCCAATCACAATCACTTCCTGTGTTTTTGTCATCACCTTGTAAAAAATAAAGAAAGGTCTTAATGTACCTTAACGAGGAAAGCGTTGGGTCTTCTGTTTTAGTTTTAAATTATCATATTTAATCTCAGAGAAAATCCAATGTTTTCTCTTAAATTGGTTAGAAACTTTTTTGACGTTTTAACTTGGAAATGTGTGACTCTCTTTCCCCTAGTTTTCCAATTATGTTTTCTTCCATTTATTATTCTTGAGTTCAAATTACTTTCTTTTACATTTTTTTCTTTGTTTTTGCAAATGAAATCACATCATGTCAATTTTAATATATATTTTTGATAATATTGAGAATAATGATGCCACAATTATGTATTCCCTCTGTCAGTGAAAAAGTTCAAATTAAATATTTTTTCCATAGAAGCACATGCTATCAACAGACACACAGCTGAGTCTTATCATACTTCCTGTTTCAGCAGCTGTCAGTCACACTCACACACCCCACACACACACACACACACACACACACACACACACACACACACACACACACACACACACACACACACACCCCCCCCGCCCACACACACACACACACACACACACACACACACACACACACACACACGCAAACACACACACACACACACACACACACACACACACACACACACACCACACACACACACAGACAGAGCAGAGTACAGTCAGAGGGTTCCTTCAGTTTCTTCAGTATCTCTCAGGAGCTGCAGGTATTTCCCAGAATGCACATCTTCCTCATCTTCCTCCTCTTCGTCCTCCTCGTTGCTACGGTAACAGCGGTTTTTGGTTGTCACGGCGGCAGAGATAAGGACCACCGGAGACAGGAAAACTGCACCGCGGCAGGATTCACCGGAGTACCGACGGGACTCGAACCCGCGACCAAGGTAACACGAGAGGGGAACTCTAACTTCAGTGTGTGAAATTAAACAGTTTTATACTCAGAGAAATATAGTCAAAGTTAAAAGTGGACATTTTAAAAGAGATTAAACTATAGAGAAACTTAAGGCAAGATAAAAAAGTGAAAGAAATGAAAAAAATAAGTATATCTATAATATTTATAATATATATTAAAAAGAAAAACCGACTTAGATATACCAAAGCAAATTCCTTGTATGTGTGAACCGGGTTATAAAACCGCTTCTGATTCTGATAAAGCCTCTAACTTGCTCACCATTTCGTACTAAAATGTCAAAAATAAATGACCAAATGTGATTATAGCAGAATAAGCCAGATGACCCATGTTTTATTAAACATCCTGTAGCTAACAGCTGACTGTCCTTCTCTGACGGACAGGACCACAGCAGAAAACTGTCTTCCTGTTCCAGAGCGATAACACGACAGCAGTTTGACAGTAAACAGCTTTTACAGTGTTTCTTCTTCTACTGTTTTTTTGTAGGTTTTGTTGTTTCCCCAGAACCTATTCTCCAGCCTCTCCTGGTCCTCCTTCCAGATCTTCACGGAGATCTACGAGATCGACCTCACTGGAAACAAGGTGTCGGATGAATCCGGAATCAATGATATCTCTCATTTTAGTTTCTGTACATATGTCTCTATTTCCTGTGTGTCCAGGTTCACTGAGGATATTGATATTGATATGAATCAATATTTAGATCTCTGATTTTAGTCGCATCGCCCGAGTACTGAAATAACTAGGATGCAGAACATGAAGGAAGCGTGCTAGGAATTTAGGATGCACGTTGTGATTGTAGCTTTTTAGCAAGTAAAACCAATGAGGTAGTTTGTTAAGATTTTAAGATGAAAATATAAAGTTAGCTCATTAAGAAGATAGGATGCAGAACAAGAAGGTACCTTATTGAGAGGTTAGGATGCAGAACAAGAAGGTACCTTATTGAGAGGTTAGGATGCAGAACAAGAAGGGTACCTTATTGAGAGGTTAGGATGCAGAACAAGAAGGTACCTTATTGAGAGGTTAGGATGCAGAACAAGAAGGTACCTTATTGAGAGGTTAGGATGCAGAACAAGAAGGTACCTTATTGAGAGGTTAGGATGCAGAACAAGAAGGTACCTTATTGAGAGGTTAGGATGCAGAACAAGAAGGTACCTTATTGAGAGGTTAGGATGCAGAACAAGAAGGTACCTTATTGAGATGTTAGGATGCAGAAACAAGAAGGTACCTTATTGAGAGGTTAGGATGCAGAACAAGAAGGTACCTTATTGAGATGTTAGGATGCAGAACAAGAAGGTACCTTATTGAGATGTTAGGATGCAGAACAAGAAGGTACCTTATTGAGATGTTAGGATGCAGAACAAGAAGGTACCTTATTGAGAGGTTAGGATGCAGAACAAGAAGGTACCTTATTGAGATGTTAGGATGAACAAGAAGGTACCTTATTGAGATGTTAGGATGCAGAACAAGAAGGTACCTTATTGAGATGTTAGGATGTAGAACAAGGATCAATATTAATATCTCTTGTTTTAGTTGTCGTACATATTTAGTATTTCAAGTTTCTTGACTTGCTGTGTCTCCAGGTTCCAGAGTTGACCCCCAGCTCCGCTCCGATCCTCCCCAGCCTCAGAGTCCTCCGGCTGGGATCGAACCGGCTGACCTCCCTCCCTGATGGATCCTTCTCCGCCTGTCCGGCGCTGACTGAACTCTACCTGGAGGGCAACGCCGTGGTTTCTCTGAGCGACAACACCTTCTCCGGACTCAGCAAGCTCGAGGTCAGGCCGTCTGCTAGCAAGGGAAGATGCATGCTGAAGGATGTACAAGGAAGCTTGTTAGGAAGTTAGGATATACGCCATAAAGGAAGTATGTTAGGAAGATAGGATACATGCCGTGAAGGAAGTATGTTAGGAAGATAGGACACATGCCGTGAAGGTAGCTTGTTAGGAAGATAGGACATACACCATGAAGGTAGCATCTAAGGAAGTTAGGATACATGCCGGGAAGGTAGAATCTAAGGAAGTTAGGATACATGCTGTGAAGGAAGCTTGTTAGGAAGTTAAGAAGAATTGAATGAATATAGTAGTGTAGGAACTTTGTATGCAGAACATGAAGGTAGATTGTTAGGATGCTAGGATTCATATCGTGAAGTTAGCGTGATAAAAATGTAGAAGACCTTTAGTTTTCTTACCGAAGAACGCTCAACTTGTCTCTCTTTTAACTCGCACCTTTTAGATCCTGGACTTATCGTCCAATCGTATCCAGGTTCTTCCTCAGCTCATGCTACAACCCCTCGCTGTGATCGAGACCCTGAACATCGAGAACAACAAGGTGGGGAAAGGAACAACAGTCCTTAAATGTCCGTTTTCTTGCCTGTAGTGCAGATCTCAAACCTTTTTATTTCAGGTCCTGGCGATGCCTGACGGTTGGTTCAGCCCGAAGGAGGACGTGCCGTACCTTTTCCTCTCGGCCAATCCCTGGGCCTGCTCCTGTTCCCTCGGTTACCTGCGCAGATACATTGATGAATATGAATTCAACGTGTACGTACGGAATGGACCGATCCTCAAGACCGACCCTTGGAGCGTGGTGAGAACCGGCCATGGAAAGTCTTTATGACAGGTTGTTGCCTTAATGCGAATTCAAAATAAAAAACAGACTTATTTCTGGCGTTCGCTTTCTGTTCTCAGGTGTGCGACTCTCCTCTGAGGCATAAGGCAACAGCTGTATTGAATCTTGAAGAATCTGAGCTGTGTCCACCAGAGCCAGAGCATCCGATACGTGGAGACGGAAACAAGCCAATGGAAACTGTGGCTCCCACCGTCCCAGTTCTTACTAATACTCCCATTCATACCACTACTACTGCTGTTTCTATGACTACTGCTTTCCCTACTACACCTCCTATCCCTTCTTCTCCTTTGACACCAACGTTTGTAGAATGGTCAGACCACTCAACAAATGCCCAAACTGATCCTTTAACCGCGGCCAAGACGACCACCACCACTACGAAGGTAACAACCAACACCATCTAATTTTTAATGCTTTTTTGGTATTAAAATGAATTTCCTTAGATGTCCTATAAAAGCCATTTCTGTTTTTAACATCCCTAAACTGTTTGTAATGCATTTTGAACCCTTTTTTCAAGGCAACAACCACCACCCCCATGGCAACAACCACCACCCCCATAGCAACAACCACCACCCCCATGGCAACAACCACCACCCCCATGGCAACAACCACCACCCCCATAGCAACAACCACCACAACCAAGGCAACAACCACCACCCCCATACCAACAACCACCACAACCAAGGTAACAACCTAGTTTTTTATTAAAATGAATTCCCTCAGATGTCCTATAAAAGTCCTTCCTGTTTTTAACACCCCTGAACTGTTTATAATGTATTTTAAATTCATAATTCATAATTTTTATCTGAGTACCCTTTATTTTCAAGGCAACAACCACCACTACCAAAGCAACAACAACCGCCGGCGATGACTCAGTAACCGGTCGATTTCGCAGCGTCCGAGGCGCTGGGGTTTTCTGTTTCTGGCTTTTCGCCGGCTGCTCCCTGCTGTGCTTGGTGTCGGCGGTGGCCATTTTGGCGACCGTGGCGAGGATGGTGTTCTGGTACCGGCGGGTCTACAAGCCAATTAGCGCGGCACTAACGAGGAGGCAGGAGGTCGTTAGGCTGTTAACGAGGGAAGGGAGGGATGAGGGGAGTGCTGTGTATCGCTCAGTTCTGTACGTCCATAGAGAGGGGGGAGTCGAGGAAGAAAGGGGGGAGACGGGAGGGGGTTTACAGGAACACGATGTACCGAGTGATGAGCAAAGAAGAGGAAGTGGGGGGGAGGAAAGTGATGGAGGAGTGTCAGGTATCGGGGGAGGAAAGGGGGAGGAGAATGGGGGATTCCAGGAAGCGCTACAGCGTTATTTTGAGGGAGGAGGCGGGGGGGAGGGGGGAGAAGGAGTGGGTGGTGGGGGGGTGGGAGGGGGCGGGGGAAGAGGCAAGGAGCAGCTGGGGGGAGTGGCTTACTCATTACTTACCCAGCATGCCCTGGGGTGTGGCCCCGCCTCCTGAGGGAGAGGCTGCTCAGTGATTGGTCAGCTGGATGAACGTCATGACACTTCCTGTCTATCGAGAGGCGAAGTCCCTCCCCTTCCAGTTGAGCTTCATGGGACCTTATTTCAGAAAAGTTATGCATTGAAGTCAATGGAGAGAGAAAGATTATCTTTCGATCCCGTTTGAATTGTGCCACGAATTACACATATGATGTTTGTCAATTTAAAAGATAATTTTACAAGTCAAAAAAATAAAAATGTGTCGTAAAACTGTGAAGTAACACTTTGTTTGTGTGAAACCGCTCAATGAGCTACATCTCCCGTCTCGCACCACACACCAAGACGGCCGTCACGTTGGCACGTTTCACTTCTTTCTTTCAGAATGAGGCGGAAAGTATTAAAAGAGGTGAAAATCACTCCAAGTCTGGGCATGTTGAGAGCTGCACATACACACAAGGGGAGTGAGTCGGTTCATAAGAGCCAGCATGCGGGACCGGGACTCTGGGATTTGTAGTCTTTCTAGTTGCCTATTTTTCATAGTCTTATATTTCAACAGTTTTACGACAAACTGTGACTTTTTTGACATGGAAATGATTTTTTAAGATTGACAAACATCATATGTGTAATTCATGGCACAATTCAAACGGGATCGAAAGATAATCTTTCTCTCTCCATTGACTTCAATACATCATTTTTCCGAAATAAGGTCCCATGGGGCGGAAGTAGATGGGCGGGACTTCGCCTGTCTATTTTCTGTTTTTCATTCTATTAGAAAGTATAGCGGGATATTAATCTTTGTAAAACTACAAAAATGAAAAGCACCTTTATGATAATTCGTCTCAACACGCTTTTAATGACACATTCCCAACGGCCTCACATAATCACTACTAACAAAATAAATGAATATTAACTGTGTGTTTAATTTACATTAATCAATAAAAACTGTTTACTCACCTTTAAGTCATCAGAGAGTCATTTAATAAACGATAACAAATGTGTTTTCTTATTTGTCCTTTCTGTTTGTAAACCCCTAAACTGGATAATATAATTTCAAAAAAGCCATCTCTCATTTTAAATTAATTAATATTTGTAGTCTGGTTTATAATTTGGATAATTGTTGTACCCTTGATTTCTTTATATTTAAATAGTTTTATGGAAATTGTTTATTTTATTGATGTTGTATTTAATTGTATTTGTTTTTATTATATTCTTTACATTGTATTTTTTATTACTTCTAAATTCTCAACATTTGATTTATTCATTATTAATATTATTAGGTAATTTAAACATAAATAAATATAGATTAAAAAAATGTATATATATATTTAATATAATTACTATATAATTATAAAAAACGACAAATGAATTGTAAATATGTCAAACAGCTCAGAGGTGAAATGGTCAGGTGATCAGAAGCTTCTTTAATGATCATCATTTATTCTTCAGCTGGTTCGGATCCATCATGTCGGATTCTAAATAAACAGACTTATAAATAAACTTAAAAAACTCTAAATATAAACTTTATCTCTTAGCATGAAGCTAACGGGATTTACCTTCTTCTTCTTGTTTCTACGGCAGCTTCACTCACCTGCTTCAGGTAAGTTTGTTCCTGATTTAAACTTTAGATGTTTTGTTTCTAAAATACACGCCTTATATGCTAATCGTTATTTATAAACAGCTGATGGTTATAATGCAATATATCCAGTGGCGTTTTTATATGTACAAAAGTGGTGGGGGACGAACAACTTAGATGTGTATATAAGCTTCTGGTGCTTTTTTAAACACGTAAACAAATAGCTGTAGGCTAGATAGAGAGAGGGGCGGGCGGCTGTGGCACAGTGGATAGTGTCTTAGTGTTCAGATCAGGGGAGCACAGGTTCAAACCCCACTGCAGTCAGCATGTCGTTGTGTCCCTGAGACACTTCACCCCAAAGTGCTCCTGTGGGGATTGTCCACAGTACTGAGTGTATGTAAGTCGCTTTGGATAAAAGCGTCTAACAAGTAACATGTCAATTTAAACAAACAGGGAGGCTTTTATTGTGAAACAGTCACCGGAATGTGTTTTCAAAATAAAGCTCCAGTCGTAGTTGATATTTGAGGAGACTAAGAAATATTCAGAGTAATAAACATCTAATAATAATAATAAAGTGATATGAATAAATATTATAAAAATGATGTTTTAAAAATATATTTAAGGACAGAAAATAACCTGTAGGCTCACACACACACACACACACTCTCTCACAGACGACGCATTCAGGTGCTGTAGGATAAAAAACGAAACAAAAACACATATTTTGTTCTTTAACAGTAAACCAGAGCAACAGGATCCTAAAATAAATGCACCTAAACGACAAACAGTTTCCCAACTATGGATAAATAAAGTGTAAATAAAGTAAAACAACACACACACACACACACACACACACACACACACACACACACACACACATACCATGTATACATCACTTCAGGGGACATTACATTGACTTACATGCATTTCCTGGAGACTTATCCTAACCCTAACCCTAACCAACACATGCCTAACCCCTAACCCCTAACCCTTAATTTACCCTAACCAAGTCTTCACCCTAAAATGAATGATTCCCTTCATGGGGACCTCCATTTTGTCCCCATAAGGGAGGCGAGTCCCCACTAGTGACTGTGTAAACAGATTTAGGTCCCCACAAGTATAGTAATGCTAGGCCACACACACACACACACACACACTCACAAACAACTCATTCAGTGCTGTAGGAAAAAAAACGAGACAAAAAGACACATTTTGCTCTTTAACAGTAAACCAGAGTACCAGGACCCTAAAATAAAAACATCTTAATGACAACAAACTTACCAACTTCTGATAAATAAAGTATAAATAAATCAAATATCCAAAAACAAAATATCTGCGTTGGCCGGGAATCGAACCCGGGTCAACTGCTTGGAAGGCAGCTATGCTCACCACTATACCACCAACGCTCGATGAATTCTGACGCTCACGGTGCCAGTTTTAAATAATGACAAAGGTAAACAGCGGCTTAGTTTATGCTAAAACTAGTAGTTATAAAACACCAAACAGCTCTCATTAACTCCGAAGATTAGCTTTAAGGCTCTAGCTATCGTTATTGTAATCTACATCGTTAGCAATTCCCGGATGTGGGTTTTGTCGTCACTGCAGAGGAAGCTAACGGCTAACTGAGGAGCTAACGTACCTGAAGCCTTTGATTTACAGCAGGTTTATCTCCGTGTTAAAATCCCTTACATTGAGAGAGAAGTGGAAGCATAGAAGAAAAACACAGATAGGAGGTTTACTCTGGTTAGATTTGCAGCAGAGACACGAGATAAATAAAGAGGCGTCACGTGATCATAATAACACAGGTGTACTTTGCTGTTTCCTCCACTAGGTGGCGACATTTAGCAGGGGTTTACAAGTCCAACGGGCTTTGTGTTGTGTGTTAGCAGGACAACATGAGTGGCTTTATTTTTAACTAGGATTCTTTTTTACTTTAAAGTACATTAAATATAGGAATATATATTTTGAACATGGGAAGAAAAGAAAACTCTGAAAGTGATGGACATGTTTGTAAAAAGATGTGGAAAGTGGAAATGTTCAGTAAAACATATGGTAACAATAACAATGACAACGATTTTGAAAAGTAAATCATTTATTAAATTAAAAACATATTTGAATGAAATAAGGAGAACATTTTTGGGAATTGAGGAAATGTATTTTTATGGAAGAATTTGGTAAAATAATGTTAATAATAACATGTATTTATATAATATATTTTAATAAGTTAAAAAAAGGTTAAAATTAACACATGTTTGGGAAATACTTACGGACATGTGGGACATCATTTAAAAGTTATTAAAAATTGGGATATTTCTTTTAGTTTTTTTGTTTAGTTCAATTGTAATATTTCTAAACAAGTCGTATTTATTTTTACTTATTGAAATGTTTTATTATTTCTCCCATTTTATTTGCCAGAAACAAATAAAATATCTCCCTTTTGCACAAAAACAACCTTCAAATAATGTGGTATTCTTCTCGAGTAGTATTTGTTAATTTCCCACGTTATTAATTAAATGCTTCATTCACTGTTTTCCTCTCTGTCTCTGTTTCAGGCTGACGGCCAATCAGCTGCTCACACACACACACACACACACACACACACACACACACACACACACACACAGACACACACACACACACACACACACACACACACACACACACACACACACACACACACACACACAGACACACACACACACACACACACACACACACACACACACACACACACACACACACACACACACACACACACACACACACACACACACACACACACACACACACACACACACACACACACACACACACACACACACACACACACACAAACACACACACACACACACACACACCCTCACACTCTCCCCCCCGCCGACACCTCCCTGTCGTTTCGATCGACGCTCCGTATCCGTTCATAACCTCCGCCATTATTCATCCTCCCCCTCCTCTTCCTCCCCCTCCTCTTCCTCCACACCCCCCCCCCCTTTCTTCCCATGGTGCCGCTGTCTCTCGCCCTGCAGGGTTTCTCTCTCTCTCTCTCTCTCGCCTCGACCTCGCTCATTTAACTCCCCTCTCTCTCTCTCTCTCTCCTGGTGATTATCCTCTTCCTCCTCCTCCTCCTCCTCCTCTTCCTCACCTCCCTCCCCCCCCCCCCTCCCCCCCTGTCGTCTCCTTCCCCGCCAGCCATGATCCGTGGCGGGATGATAATTCCCAGACGGTCTTCCTCCTCCTCCTCCTCTTCCTCACCTCCTCCTCTTCCTCTTCCTCGCGGTAAGTGTCCATCTCCTCCCTTTCTGCCCCCTGCTGTGTTGTGTTGATCGCTTGTTATCCGGGGGGGGGTTATATTATATATATATTGACTCCCTGCCTCCCCTCCTCAGTGGGGGGTGTGTGTATGTGTGTGTGTGTGTGAGGGTGTGTGTGAGAGTGTGTGTGTGTGT